AGCTGTTTTTAGCCATATTTGTGTCATTTTTAGCTAGCATTTCATAATATTCAGCTAGACTTCAGCTGTTTTTAGCCATCCTGTGCCCATCTTCAGCTCGTGTTCTAACAGCTCAGTTTTAGCTGTTAACACTCACAGCAGCTGAAGTGTAAACCTGTTTCCTGTTGTGAGGCAGCTAAAGTTTAGCTTTTAGCTGAAACATCTGTCCAGCTGTGAGTCAGAAGTTCGGGTTTTACTAGAACCGGTTCTGGACGTGCTGCTGTAACAGAACCGGACCAGCAGAACCGGACCAACAGGCCCAGGAACTGGTTTCCTGGCTCGGTTTTGTCATGTGGGTCGTGTGAAAACCCGGATTGGATCTCCCAGGTCAGCTGGGCTAGAAGCTGAAAAAAACTGACTGCAGGGAAACCAACGGAACCAGAACCATCCTGGACCGGTACCAGATGAAACAATTAATGTTTTGAAAACATAAAATCCACAAAAAGGCGGGAAAAGGGTTTTATTTTGAAAATAATGGCGGTAAAACCAGAGAGTTTTTCTTTAATTTGAACTGTTTTTCAAACAGTAAAATGTGGGTCACGTGTCTGGATCAGAACCCGAACCTTCACACAGGAGAACTGGGACTAAAGACGGTAAAGGTTCGGTTCTGTTCGGTTCTGGAAGGCCCAGCTGAGTCCACTCCGGTTCTTCTCGCCTTCATTCGGGCGCAGTTTGCGCGGATAAACAGCCGCAGCTCCAGAGGACAGAAAGGACGAAAACAAGCCGAGCCGTCCGGGTTTTCATCAGAACCGGGCCCGAACCCCAGCCTGAAGCTGTTTTCGACCCGACCCGACACCAGAACCCCGCCAACCGAACCCCGGACCGGAGCTCGGTTCGGTTTCTCGCGGCAGCGGCAGCGGCCTCCGCTCGGCTCCGAGTCCGTCCGGAGCCTCACGTGTCCCGGATCGGCTCCCTCACATGACCCGAGTGTTTGTCCCCGTGATCAGAACCTCCGGCCCGGTCCGTCCGGGAGGGCTTCATGGAGATGCTGGAGCAGAACCTGGACGGTTCGGGGAGGTGAGAGAGGCTGTCGGTCCGGTTCGTCCTGCTCCAGACCCGACCGGAACCAGAACCCAGACTTCATGTTAAACCAGTCTGCGGGTCTGATGAGGTTCTGCCGAACCTCCTGTTTAGTTAAAAGCAGAATAAAAACCCAAAAGGTCTGGTTCTGATCCACAAACTCCAGCTCTTTGTTCCGGAACTTCTTGTTCACATAAACACAGTCCGGTCCGGCTGGTTCCTCCGGTTCTGAAGAACCAGCAGAACCGTCACTTATTGGGTCTAATCCGAGTTTAATCCGAGTTTAATCCGAGATTAATCCCGATCTTTTCTGTTTTTGTTTTTTAGTCACGACAAACCGGAACCGGAAGAAGTGGTTCAGCTGCAGGAAGGTGGGGCTGAGTTTACCTGGTTACCTGCATACAAACAAACATCTGTTTACACAAACAAACAAACATCTGTTTACACAAACAAACAAACATCTGTTTACACAAACAAACATCTGTTTACATAAACAAACAAACATCTGTTTACACAAACACACAAACATCTGTTTACACAAACACACAAACATCTGTTTACACAAACAAACATCTGTTTATACAAACAAACAAACATCTGTTTACACAAACAAACATCTGTTTAAACAAACACACAAACAAACATCTGTTTATACAAACAAACATCTGTTTAAACAAACACACAAACAAACATCTGTTTATACAAACAAACATCTGTTTAAACAAACA